AGATTTTGCTCCATGTTGACATGACAGCATCACACAGTTGCTGCAGATTTGTCGGCTGCACATCCATGATGTGAATCTCCCGTTCCACCACATCCCAAAGATGCTCTTTTGGATTGAGTTCTGGTGACTGTGGAGGCCATTTGAGTATTGTGAACTCCTTGTCATGTTCAAGAAACCAGTCTGAGATGATTCACGCTTTATGACATGTGTTATCCTGCTGTAGTAGCCATCAGAAGTAGCCATCAGAAGATGGGTACATTGTGGTTATAAAGAGATGGACATGGTCAGCAACAATACTCAGGTAGGCTGTGGCGTTGACATGATGCTTAATTGATACTAAGGGGCCCAAAAAGTGCCAAGAAAATCTCCCCCACACCATTACACCACCACCACCAGCCTGTACCGTTGATGCAAGGCAGGATGGATCCATGCTTTCATGTTTTTGAAGCCAAATACTGACTCGACCATCTGAATGTTGCAGCAGAAATGGAGACTCATCAGAGCAGGCAACGTTTCTCCAATCTTCTAATGTCCAGTTTTGGTGAGCCTGTGTGAATTGTAGCCTCAGTTTCCTGTTCTTAGCTGACAGGAGCGGCACCCGGTGTGGTCTTCTGCTGCTGTAGCCCATCAGCCTCAAGTATGGACGTGTTGTGTGTTCAGAGATGCTTCTTCTTATTTGAGTTACTGTTGCCTTTCTATCAGCTGGAACCAGTCTGGCCATTCTCCTCTGACCTCTGGCATCAACAAGGCATTTGCGCACACAGAACTGCCGCTCACTGGATATTTCCTCTTTTTCAGATCATTCTCTGTAAACCCTAGAGGTGGTTGTGCGTGAAAATCCCAGTAGATCAGCAGTTTCTGAAATACTCAGACCAGCCCACCAACAGCCATGCTTAAAAGTCACTTAAATCCTCTTTCTTCGCCCTTGTGGTGCTCGCTTTGAACTGCAGCAGATTGGCTGATTACAAATTTGCATTAACGAGCAGTTTGACACGTGTACCTAATAAAGTGGCCAGTGAGTGTATTTTTGCTATGTTTTTCTATGTAACCGGTATCCTTGCGTCTTTTGCATCACATTGCATATGTATGGCAAGCCAAAGGGCTCACAAATTGCCATTTTCACAGGGGTTTAAACCATATTTGCACAATAAAATTTGCTGTTCTGACATAAAAACATTGTTATAAATGTACAAAAATTGTCCATAAGGCTGTTGGCAGCGTTTTAGTGTGCACATTTGGCACAGAACATGTGTTATTAACAATGTTATATTAATTTGAAATTAGTTAAAAACACAAATTTAGAGATTTCTTTGTGACAAAATAATTTACGTTTAATTTACAATCCACTTACATTCACGTTCACTTAATTCCTTCATGTTCTCAAAACAAAAATCAGCTTTGTGCAACCCTGCGGGGTTTTTTTTTTTTTTTTTTTTTTGAGTGTTCCCTATAGTGAACGGTGCACTGAAGCATTTCTTTTCTCCTCCTCCAGCTCCTCCAGCAGCAGCGGCTCCTCCAGCGACTCTTCCTCAGACAGCAGCGACTCCTCCAGCTCCTCATCCTCAGACAGCAGCAGTGACAGTGACGATGACTCTTCATCCTCTTCGTCCTCATCTTCATCGTCTTCATCCTCGTCTTCCTCCTCCAGCTCTGACTCGGACTCCTCCAGCAGCTCTGATCAGGGCCCTCCCAAGAAGAGGAAAAAGAAGAAATGAGGCTCGGCTGGCTCTGAATTGAGGACTTTCATATTGTGAGGAGGCGAGGAGATTATTTATGTTTAGTCACGCCGTTTTGTTTAATGTAAAATATTATAGTCTTTCAGTCACTTTAAGGGGGTAGTTCACCCAAAAAATGAAAACTCTGTCATTTACGCACTTGTTTTTAAAACGGTTTGAGTTTCTATTTTCTGTTAAACACAAAAGAAGATGTTTTGAAGAATGTTGGAAACCGGTAACCATTGACTTCAATAGTATTTGTTCACTCTAAATACTAAAGAAGATATTTTGAAATGTTGGAAACCGGTAACCATTGACTTCAATAGTATTTGTTCACTCTAAATACTAAAGAAGATATTTTGAAGAATGTTGGAAACCGGTAACCATTGACTTCAATAGTATTTGTTCAATCTAAATACTAAAGAAGATATTTTGAAATATGTTGGAAACTGGTAACCATTGACTTCAATAGTATTTGTTCACTCTAAACACAAGAAGATATTTTGAAGAATGTTTAAAACCGGTAACCATTGACTTAAGTAATATTTGTTCACTCTAAATACTAAAGAAGATATTTTGAAGAATGTTTTAAACCGGTAACCATTGACTTAAATAAGATTTGTTCACTCAAGTTCTTAACATATTTGAGTTATTTATTTTATTTTTTTTTTTAAACACAAAAGAATATGTTTTGAAGAATGTTGGAAACCGGTAACCATTGACTTCAGTAATATTTGTTCACTCTAAATACTAAAGAAGATATTTTGAAAACTGTTGGAAACCGGTAACCATTGACTTCAATAGTATTTATTCACTCTAAACACAAAAGAAGATATTTTGAAGAATGTTTTAAACCGGTAACCATTGACTCAAATAATATTTGTTCACTCTAAACACAAAAGAAGATATTTTGAAGAATGTTCGAAATAGGTAACCATTGACTTTAATAGTATTTGTTCACTTTAATTCTAAACCTGTTTGAGTTTTTTTCTTCTGTTAAACACAAAAGAAGATATTTTGAAGAATGTTGAAAGTACCATAGTAATTTCCATTCTGTGGACGTCAATGGTTACAGGTTTTCAATATTCTTTTAAATATATTCTTTTTGTGTTCAACAGAAGAGAGAAACTCATAAAGGTTTATAAGTAAATGGTGAGCAAATTTCATTTTTAGGTGAACTATCCCTTTAAATTTTTTTTTGTTTTTACGTTTCCCTCCTTGCCAGAGTGTAGTGGTCGACTAAATTTAAAATACTGAAATGATTTTCTTTACCAATGTTTGTTTACTTAATTTGCATTTTTTCTCCATAAGTGATTCATGTCTAGTTAGGTTTTGCTTTTTTTAAGGACTGATTTAAGTATGAATGACACGTACATCTTCATTTTTAAGATGGTCTTAAAAAATAAACTGGTTTCTTACAGAAAGAATGTACTCGTGATGTGTTGAAATATCCAGAACTTGTTTGGAAAGTGGAGCATGTCTCATAATAAAGACAAAACATACAATTTTCTACAGTACGGTGTTAAACGTCCAATTATTTTTAGCAAGTTAACCTTGTTTCTTAAAGAGACAGTGCACCCAAACTTGAAAAAATATCCTCTAGTTACACTCGAGTAGTTTTAAACTGTTGTAATTTTTTTTTCTCTTCTGTTGAGCACAAAAGAAGACACTTTGAAGAATGCTGAAATCCGGTAACCATTGACTTCCTTAGCAAATTTGATTGGCAGTTAAAGGGACAGTTCACCCAAAAATGTAAATTTTGTAATCATTTATACAGCCTGTAATTGTTTCAAATCTTTATGCATTTCTTTATTCTGTTAACACAAAAGATGTTTTGAAGAATGTTGGAAACCGGTAACCATTGACTTCTTGGCATATACTATGATTGGCCATTAAAAGAATAGTTCACCCAAAATTTTTTTAATTCTGTTATTTACTCACCCTTTATATTGTTTTAAACCTTTTATGTGTTTATTCTGTTAAAAGTAGATACTTTGAAAAATGCTGAAACTCAGTAAACATTAACTTTCATTGCAAATACTATGATTGGCAGTTAAAGTTATAGTTCACCCCAAAATTTTCATATTGTGATAATTTACTCACCCTTTAATTGTTTCAAATATTTATGTTTTTCTTTATTCTGTTAAACACAAAAAAGATGTTTTGAGGAATGCTAAGAATCGGTAACCATTGACTTCCATAGCAAATACTATCATTGGCAAGTAAAAGGATAGTTCACCAAAGAATGTAAATTCTGTGATCATTTAATCGCACTTTAATTGTTTTAAACCTTTATGCGTTTCTTTATTCTGTTAAACACAAAAGAAGATAGTTTGAAGAATGCAGAAAACTGGTAATTATTAACTTACTAAGCAAACACTATGATTTTAAGGAATGGTTCACTAAGAATGTAAATTCTGATCATTTACTCACCCTTAAACTTTTCCAAGGGTTCTTTATTCTGTTAAGCACAAAAGAAGATACTTTGAAGGATACTGAAAACCGGTAACCATTGACTTCCATTGAAAATACTATGATTGGCAATTAAAGGTAGAATTCACCCATCATCATTTACTTACTCATCATCACATCATTTACTTACCCTTTAACTGTTGTGGTAGAGGTAGACATTAATAAAATACATTTTAATCGGTAATTTAGTAAATAATGTGAATAATACTCGGAATAATTAGTGTTTTTACATTGAGTTTTTGGGTTGTGTAGGGGTAGACGGTAATAAAATACACTATAATACGTAATTTAATACATAATGAGTAATACTCGGTATACTTTTGCATTACTGTGGCGGTTGGAGTAGGGTAGTCGTAAATAAAATACTATTTAATTTGTAATTTAAGAAATGACGTAAGCAATTCTCGTTATAATTACATTTTACATTACTGTTGGGGTGGACGTTAATAAAATACAATAAATGGGAAATTATTTAAATAATATAAATAACTGTTAACTTCCGACCGCAGCTGCATCCAGAAACGAACCCTAGGTAGGCGACTCAGAAGTGTTCCAGACACAGCCATTTCCGCGAGGACGCGCTCGTCACGTGACCAGGTTAGTTTACCAAGCCGAAAATCAGCCAGCCAGATGATACGCGATGATCTCCTAAAAAAATGACCTGCCGCAAGAATCTGCCCGACACAATGACCACGAGCAGGCGACCCTCGGCGGTATGGCTCACATAAACGAGCGTGATTTTGCTTTTTGTTTGGTTACTTGTTGGTTGACGGCGGCGGCTGACACATTTATTGGGGCGCAGAGCAGATCACGCAGACAAAGGGAAAAGGCTTTCATAGCGAGAATGCTTCGGGCCTAAAAAGAAGCCAAGAGGTAAGTGGGCCATACACCGGCCTGTTACATAACTGAAAGAAACGAGCCATGCAAACGCAGATACAATAACATTCAATCATTTATTCATGAGGGAAATTGTAACAAGTTGTTAGCGAAGGAGAGCTGTGTTGCTTGCTATACGTCCGTCTGTGAGTGTGTGTGTGTGTTGAAGTGTTTAGCTAACATGCGAGCTGTCTGAAATCACACACAGACATGCCATCGTGTTATAAGCAACACTCTCATTATTAGTCTCCCATTAAGATCGAAATTTGTTGTGGCTAACGTTAGCTTATTGAATCATATACGTTACACATTCCGTTATGTATTTGGGATGTAACGTTAACGTTACATGTATTAACGTTAATTGATGTCATTAACGTTTATCACTTGCGTTATTAATGTTTTTGTTCAATTAATCTGCGTTCATATTCGTTTAACGTTTAAATAACTTGCACTCGTCATCAGATGCTAATGGGAGAAGCAGGTAAACACACACCTTATTGACTGGTTCAAGTGAAGCTGCTTGTTTTTATTGGAGGGTGAGAATCAAAAGTTCACACAGATCTTGTTTTATTTATTTATTTGATTTTCTATTGGGATGTTTTTGTTAGAAAACGGACGTCACGGCGTAGAAATGTTTCACCTTCCGTTGAATAATCTTTGCGTCATCAGGATGAAGTGTAAACATTACAGTCTAGGGTTTAACGCTAAGGATATTTTCTACTGGCCTGATTGGACCAGTGGTTCAGATTTTTATTTGCCCTGTCAAAATTTTCACTGACCCCACCAATTAAAACAAAAAAAATAATTTTTAACCACGTTTTAAATAATGTGTCAAAAATATTGCATAAGAATCTAAAATTTAAATGTTTAACATTTTAAAAAATATTTAGCAGTAAAATAAAGCAGTATGGAAAATGTGCAGGTATTTTATTGCAAAACAAATGGTTGCTGACGTCCAATTATTTTTAGCAAGGTAACCTTGTTTCTTAAAGAGACAGTACACCCAAACTTGAAAAAAAATCCTCTAGTTACACACACTTGAGTGGTTCTGAACTATTGTGATTATATTTTTTTATCTTCTTTTGTTGAGCACAAAAGAAGACACTTTGAAGAATGCTGAAATTCGGTAACCATTGACTTCCTTAGGAAATACTATGATTGGCAGGGATAGTTCACCCAAAAATCAATTCTTTGATTATTTACTTGCACTTTAATTGTTTCAAATCTTAAGTGTTTCTTTATTCTGTTGAACACAAAAGAAGATATTTTGAACAATGTTTGAAACCGGTAACCATTGACTTCCATTGCAAATATTATGATTGGCAATTAAAGGTAGTTCACCCAAAAATGTAAATTCTGTGATCATTACTCACCCTTTAACTGTTTCAAATCTTTATTCTGTTAAGCACAAAACAAGATAATTTGAAGAATGCTAAAAAATTAGTAACCATTGACTTCCATAGCAAATACTATCATTGGCAATTAAAAGGATAGTTCACCAAAGAATGTAAATTTTGTGATAATTTACTCACCCTTTAATTTTTTCAATCCTTTGTGTGTTTCTTTATTCTATTAAACGCAAAAGAAGATACTTTGAAGAATGCCGAAAATCGGTAACCATTGACTTTCATGGAAAATACTATGATTGGCAATTAAAGGTAGGGTTCCCCCAAGAATGTAAATTCTGTGATCATTTACTCACCCTTTAACTGTTTCAAATCTTTGTGTTTATTCTGTTAAACACAAAGGAAGATACTTTGAAGAATGCTGAAAACTGGTAATCATTGACTTCCAAAAAAATGAAAATTCTGTCATTTGCTCACTCTTGTTTTAAAACCTATTTGTGTTTCTTTCTTCTGTTGAACACTGAAGAAAATATTTTGAAGAATGTTGGAATCCTGTAATCTGATTTTCCTACACTGGAAGTCAATGGTTACAGGGTTTCATCATTCTTCAAAATATCTTCTTTTGTGTTTAATGTTTATTAGCTGCTTTATTATTGTTATTTATTGAGTAAAACTGCGTTCAAATTCTCTTAGCGTTTAAATAATTTGCACTCGTCATCAGATGTTAATGAGAGAAGCAGGTAAACACACACCTTATTGACCTCTTCAAGTGAATCTGTTTGTTTTTATTGGAGGGCAGGAGTCAAAAGTTCACACAGATCTTGTTATATTTATTCATTTGATTTTTCTATTGTGACGTTAGTTGTTTAAAAAAAAAAAAAACGTTGAATTATCTGTGCGTCATCAGAAGTGTAAACACGACTGTCAAAACAATATTGAACATCAATTCGCTTCAGATTTGTAAAATTTAGCAAGTAAACGAGCCAAGAAATTGATATATTTGTAAGACTAGTACTTAGTCAATAGATTTTCAGCTTTTCCCAAAGCATCATCTTTTAATTTGCTCAGTATTATTTATTTCGAGTTGCAGTGTATAGTACAATGATATAGTTTCAGTATATAGAACATATCAGGGCTAGTTTAGAGAAAGCATGGTGAAACGTTGGGTTAGAAGAATCGTTTTTCTCCTTGGTAGTGGCTACTAGGTGTGTAAGTTTAAAGTACATGAGATATGTGGATGTTATCTTAAGAGTGCAAACCAGACTTCTTGTCACTATACAATATTTGCAGATACCTCAGCAGATTTACACTTTAATATTAGCTAGAGTACATTCAGTTGAGAAATTTAAGATATTATGTGGCTAACTTACAAATGCAACAAAAAATAAACTCATTTAATTGGTCTCTTGAAGAATGGGGTGTTTTCCTATTTGGGACGTTCACAACAACGTAAATGTACTTCAGTATGGCCCTATTGTGTAAAAATCACTTTTATAAGGGGTTTAAACGCAATTGTGTGGCAGCAGTGTGTGAATATAACCAGCCTCTAATCGTATAAATGAATTAATTCTATGTTTAAAATCACGCTTGATTTGTTGTAGAAAAAAAAAAAAAAAGAGTCTGCAGAAACTCTTTGATTGACATTCTCCCTTTGAACGTGTCATCAGAGGGGGAAAGCCCCGCCCACTACTGACCATCTCTCCTTTATTAGTATAAACAGCCCTGAGTGACAAGCAGCTGTCTGCCATTAGTTTTGTATCTGCCACTATGCTAACACAATGGCATCTGTAGCTCCGCCCTCTTTTGAAAAAGAGCACGTTCTCATTTGAATTTAAAGCAACAGCCACCAAAACAGCACAACTTGGATCAAAGCCTGATGGGGTCAGTTTCAGAGAGTTATAAAACATTATCTGTGTGATCTTTTGAGTTGAAAGTACACACACTCTCTAAGGACATCAGAGACTTATTTTACATCTTGTAAGATGAGGCATAATAGGTCCCCTTTAAATAATTAATAGTTAATTCAGTAATACATAAAATAAAGTCTGCAAGCTCTTATTAGGAAACAAGAGCTTTTCTTTTTTATTTGAAAGAAAAAATACTTATTTAATATAAATATATAAATAAATATATATATATATATATATATATATATATATATATATATATATATATATATATATATATATATATATATATATATTTATTTATTTATTTATTATTATTTTTTTTTAATATAAAATAAAACTACAAATCTGTTGAATAAAAAGACTAAAGAGCTTTTGTTGATTCCTTGCTTTCTTGCTTCTGAGGCATTGACAAAATTAACATATTTTCCATGTATTAAGCTGGTACTGCCAATGTTTACAAGTGACATGGATTTTTGGTCTCATTTTTTTTGTTGCAAGTTAGTTTTACAAAAGTTAGAAGAATTTTAATCTTCGTTGTTGCGTCATAATCCGACACTCATGCAGTCGCTATTGTAGGTAAACAAAAATGCGTGCTTTAGCAGAACTACACAGACAGCCCCCCACCCCCCTCAAAAAAAGTTCTCCTGTGCATACTAATTAAAAACAATTCACAATTATTAGGTTAGATTATTCATCCCTCTCGCACATAATCACTGAAAAACAAAGAAACATACTGAAATTACTTTTGTAGCTTGTTTAAACTACTTGTTTAGAATTAGTTGAATCAACTCAATACTTTTTTGGGACAACTTCATTGTTTTGTTCAATCCACTTAAATTTGTAAAAACATTCAAGTTAACTAAATAGATTTGTGTTGGGACTGCATGAAGTGATTGTAGGAAATGCAGCATTTTTCACAGTGTAAAGGTCTTTGCACACTGAAGTCCGCAATTTTTGTATGCGTTTTTTTCTTCCGTATTCATATGCGAGAATTTTGTCACGTAAACAAACCTTGCGCGCAGAGTTCGATGCGTATGAATGAATCCATTACGAAAAAACACAAAACAGTTCAAGCAGTGATGCTTTGTTCTCCTCTTTTTTTCCGAAGAAAGAAAAAGGAATAGACTGCAAATTGTGTTCATCCAATACTAAAAGGAAAATTCAGCTCATTTTCAAAAAAAAAACTGCGCTGGATTATCTCCAAATGCAAAGTTTATTTCAGGAAATCAGTGGATTTTTGATACGTTGCTTGTGATAATTTACACATTCAACTGTACCTAGTGTGAGTACACCCTTACTTCAATCACCCTCAGGACATAAAAAACGTAGGTGGCATTTGTTGTTGTTGTTTTTTGTTCAGTTGAACATTAAAGAAGATTTTGCGCTGATTCATATACTGCCTGTCAATGGTTACCCGTTTTTGAGATTAAAAGTAAACGCGTACAAACCGGTCTAAATAAGTCCCTGTGGCTTGTGATGACACACTGAGGTCTTAAAAAGCAAAATGATCAGTCTATGTAGGAAACAGAACATCATTTACAATATTATCGACTTTAATCCACAACGCTCACTACACTCAAAACCTGTTTGACCAGGTTGTGGATTAAAGCTGATAATATTGTAAATAATGTTCTGTTTTCTACACAGACTGATCTTTTTGCTTCCTAAGACCTCGGTGTATCATCAGGAGCCGAAGGGATTGATTTAGACTCATTTGTACGTGTTTATTTTTTAATTTAAA